GCTGAAGCTCTCGTTTACCTTGGACCAGGAGAGTGGGATGCCTCAAGGCTGTTATATCTATCAGTACCGGGACAGCAACAAGTAAGTCCCGCGAAAGATTGCACACAGCAGATAGGGGAAAGTGCATTGGAAGGGAACTGCCCTGCCTTCTGGCAGAGGGATCACAACTGCTTGTACTACTTAAAAGTAGATTAAAGCAGGCTTCAGGCTTGACCTGAAACTGGGAACAGCTCCTGTAAAGGCCAGGTCCTCTAAAATGCACGAGGCCCTGCAGCCCCCTTTTTTTTGCAGCACTTAAAAACTGCTTTTATTTAGCTAAAAAGCCAGCACGGGCCCTGGCAGAACTCACTCAGGTTTCACCCAGGGATGTTTGCAACTCAGACCCTGCACCGTTGAGCACTGGGGTGACCCGGGAGCATGGGCTGGGGGTAAGCATCCAAAGGCTGCAGAGCACCCAAGAGGGCTAGCCCGCACCTCTGCTCAGCTAGAGACACACAGCACCCATTCTCTCTGCTAAAGCTTGGGTGTGGGTTCACTGAGTAGCCTTTCACTGTAGCCCCAGGGCAGCCACACACTCTGTTTTCATAAGGTACCATATGATATTCAAGCTTTAAATGTGTTTGGAGCACAAAGTCCTCAGTTTCTAGGTATTCTGCCTATTTTTACTAGCTGCTGTAGTGAATTGGCACCCAAGATGTTTTTATTTCAAATCACATTCTCATTATCAAATTGACAGCAGCAGCACAGTATAGGATATTTCTGTGTTCGCGCTGGGTTACTTTGCCTGAATACCAGCATGTCATAAATCCATAGCCTGTTACCTCCACCCATATAGTTCTGCTTCTTGCCAGTTATTGAAGGTTAACCTAAAAAAGGAGGATATATGAAATTGTCAATGAACGGAACAGCCTGTCATTGGATCTGCCCTGAAATGCTGACGAGAACAGTCCCAACTATGAAGAGGGACATCTGCAAACAGCACCTACCCCTTTCCAAGCTGAGAAACCTCAGTGTTTAAACAAGAAGGGTGATAATTCCTGGGAGAATCCTTCCCACCTGTGGATGGGCGATTAGCACATGGTACATGGTCCCAGAGGCATGGATGAGCAGAGTTGGTACCTCCAGCACCACCAAGCTAACAGGGAAACGTGCCATTCAGCACCAAAGCGCAAGATCAACAAGGGAAGAGTGTTTGGTTTTGAGGTTTTTAAAGGTGGCAGCACACAATGGACAGTGAGGAAAAGAAAACACCCAGACCTATTGGAGTTTGTTAAGGATGTTTATAGATCCAGTGTTTCTAATTGTGTGGCCTATATCTCAAAAATCAGCAGCCGTGGCTTTTTCTGCCCCAGACCCTCCTCTCCCTGGGCTCCGGTGGGTGTTTTGTGCCATTGTTTGAGGAAACTCCAGGGATGGGAGCGGAGCTATTTTGTTTAAGGGCTAAGGCCAATAGCAGTTCTGCTTGGAAACCTTGCTTTTAGCTGTGAGTGGTCCAGCATGTGACAAAGTTGCTGCAGCATGTTGGCAGCTGTTGATTTAGAGATGTATGGCTGTGACCTGCATTTCTGGCAAGCGTGGGAGCTGAACCACCCTGAGCCATGCCAGCCAGGATCATGGGTTGGAAAAATACGGTGCGGGCAGGATGAGTGGGATTGCAAGGAAACCCAGATTTTGTGCGCGTCTGATGAATCCAAACCGCAGTTGTACCTCCCTGCGGGGCCCCGTGCTTTATATTTCATAGCTTGCTTGACCAACCTGGGGGGGAGCAGGATCCCTTTTCCCAGGGAGAGCCTCGCTAAGTTTGTGCACACACATATCCTCCTAAGCCCTGCGCGTGCAGCCCAGCGCCTCCAACAGTCCTTGGCTGGTGAACTGAAGCGTGAAGGTCTGTGCTACAGCTGATGTATTTTCGCAGGTAAAGTGGCCCTGAGCCAAACGTGTGCGTGGTTCTGGTTGTACCCTGGGTGATTTTGGAGGACCCCACGTGCACTGCAGCTTATTGGCAACAGAGCATTGCATTTGAACAGTGTAATGAAGCACCGGATGCAGCTCCTGCTCAGCCAAGCAGAGACCATACTTCTCAAGCACTGAGCCTTTTATAGGGTTAACTTGTTATCCATACAATCACATGGCAGTTGTTGTGATAAGTTTTCCATAGCAATTTCCCAGGTAAATTGTAGGCCTTGTGTCCTCCAAAGACTAGACAGGCTTTGATGGTACTCATCAGGACCCAAGGGGATAACAGCTCTTCTGCATTCTTCTAAAGACATATCTAGAAGTTAAAGTAAAGTAATGTAACGTTTGTGTCTGCACCATGTTTTGGAGCTGTTTACAGCCCAGAGAAGTAATGCTGGTGATGCACTGTGGATCCCTACAAGCTTGTGCATGGGAAAGACTGGGGAAATGTACACCCCGGAGCCCAGCATCCTCAGCAGAGCATCAGGGCTGGGATGCATGCAGGGGACAGACTCTGGCAGGAGCCGCAAGTGTGTGAAGCTTTCAAGCCCCAGCCTTAACAGGAGGAAGCGGAGATGATCCCAGTTGATGGGAACCCATTCTGACCTGGGGAGTTTGCCCAGTGCCCCGGAGATCCCTGTGAGCGGGACTGTGCGTGGCAAGGCTCAGTGCCACCCTGGTCACTGGAGGAGCGTCCCTTCCCCTCCAAGTGGCAAATGCTGTTCCAAGCTGCAGCCAGACGGGGCCACCGGAGAACAGCAGATATTGGCCTCCTGCTCTCAGAACAAAGGACTGCAGCAGCATTGCTGAAAGTGTAATTATGAGAGCAATTAAAATTTCTATTGCTTAGGCTAGAAGTGCAAGTACCATGCAGGCTCTTACAAGGGCAATCAGTTGGAATTTGTTCCCTTTAAAATGACAAAACCCTGCCAAGGAAGTTTGCCCACTCCCAGCAGCTTCCTGTTGCCTGCCTGCTTGCCTACAGCAGCATTTATGGGCGCAGCGCTCACCAAGTGCCCACTCCACTATCGCATCTTGGGTGCTGAGCACTTGAGGAAGACCGGACTCAGCAGAGCCTTGGTAGCCTTGGACTGTGAGCAGATGTGCTGAGCAGCCAGCAGCTTGCCACTCCACCTCCTGCTGTAATATATTGGTATCTGATGGCGCTTGATAGTCCCAGTAGTGATCCGAGTGCTGTGCTTGGAGCTGTATGGAGGAGAGAGGCTGTCACTGCCCCAGTGGTCACAGGGGTGAGACCAGGGTACATCACTTCTCCTCTTTTCCTCTGCTTTCCAGACACTTTCCTCCCCTTGGCTGCCAGTCCTTCCCAGCCCTTCAGTCCTTTCCTGGCCCCAGAGGAAATGACTTGACCTCATGCGGAAGCAAGCAGTCTGCTTTCTCATTTTTAAGCCATGTTACTTAAATTCTCCCTAATGGGGATCAGTCAGTATAATCACAAGAGCACCAGGCTGTCGCAGCAGGCTGCTGCGGGAAGGCTGTCCTGCGATGGGAGCACTGTGCCATGCCACGGGGATGGCCAGTGACGTCTGCTGGGTGACATTCGGAACAGAAGCGTATTGTCAGCCTTCACGTGGCCCCAGAGCAGTCACATCCAAGAGAGGACAGCCCTGCCAGCTGTCCCGTGGTGTGACTGTGGCACAAGTCGGGTGTTGAGGGTGGGACTGGCTTTCTGCCGCTGCCTCCTGCGCAGGCTGGGTTTGTCTGGCCCTGCACAGGATCCAATTGCAAAATCCAGCCAGGGAGTAAAAGGCCACCAAGGCCATTCGCATCCACCATGGCTCATGAATCCCATCTTACAACACACACTTGCTGGTCCCCAGTCTAGGAACATGATACCGGCTGTGCTGAGGAAGCGCCGGCTGCTCGCTCTGAAGCCTGCCTGCCTGGTGCGGCTGGTCCTGCTCTTGTGGGCTGCCAGGCAGCAAGAAGGCTTAGGTCAAGAAAGGTTACAGATGATCATGAAAGACTTCTTCCAGCCCAAGTTCAGGAAGAGCCAAAGTCAACTTGAGATCCCCATGGAAGAAATTAATTGTGAGAAGTTTAATGTCTTTTGGCTGTATCCAAGAAATAGAAGATTCTGTTTTCTGTGTTCGCTGTCACTATCCAGACCCTCTGGAGACCTTCTAGGCTCTGCTTACCTACCCACAGCAAGTTGGACCCTTCAAATGCCTTTGTCTTCCTCCCAAGACTCTCTGATTACTGTCACCTTTCTCAGATGATGCAGTGCTCAGTGTCCCTGCCATCCCAGACCCACCAAGGAGCTATAAATCCCTGTCAAGGTTCATCCTGTTACATGGGCTCTATTTGCAGGGCGTTGTGGCACTTCCGTGTCCCCAGCTGGTTCTCTTCGAATGTGGTTTTCCTGCTCCCTTAGCCTCCGGGTATCGGTCTCTTTTGTAGGTCCCTTCCTTACGTCACAGACGTCCCCTTTGCCCATAGACCAGCTTGCAGTTCGCCAATGAATTTCATATTAATTCCTTGCTGCGGCTGGGGTTTGTGTCAGGATTATGAATTTGCAGTGGGGGCTTTCATGTTCTCTTCAGAGTAATTTCTAAACCCAGAGGAGCAGCATCTCTCATGGAAGCACTTAGAGACCTCTTACAAAAGCAGCGTTGGAGTATTGATCATTTTTTCTCTCTGGGGACCCGGAGTACTACAGATAGAGCTGCTGTGCAGTGTAGCCACTTGCGGGCAGCACCACACAACTCTTCAGGATGAGAAGTGAGAAACAGCTCCCATTGAAGGGAAAAGTGGTGCCCCCTTTTATATAGAGATCAATGATGCCTGGTACATTGGATTATCACTTAAAACACCAGGACTTCAAATGCCAGGGTGCATGCACTCCTGATGCTGACAGGCTAGTGATATATAATGCTGTTTGGGTTACCAGCTGCAATCTTTTCATAAGGTGAATGTAATATCTGCAGTGATGTACCCAATGTTACATCAGGAGAGCCAGCCTATAATTATGCTTGAATTGTTTGAACGGGTTATTTGTCACTAACACATTAGCTCACTCCATTTATTGCTACCATTTAGGGCTGCAGCAGGTTCGGTGTAAACAGAGCTTGGGTGGAGGGGTGTGGGGGGGTATTTTTCTGCAT